CTTCACGGATCCGGATTCAGTCCGTGGCTATAGGTATACAAAAACTCGATGAGCAATTACTCATTGGATTTTATATATTTCTAGTGTCTACTCATCCACGGCAATTATCGGGATCCGATTTTCATGAATTGTTATAGCTAACCAAGTTTCCTTTAAACCTTTACTTAAAACAAACTGTACTCTTTATTTATACTTTCTTTTGATGGCAAAGAACGATGATCAAATATACATCCATTATGGAGGGTATACAAGTCGTTCTTGGCCATTACTAGCCTAGAAGTATATATGACTATTGTTTTTACTCTCCAGGCCAAACAGCAAGGATCAAAACTCAAATTTGGGCTACAGGTAAACAAGGCTTCTTGAGCTTTTACTTACTGTCATTTATATATTTCTAGTGTTTTTTTTTTCCTTAAAGTTCAAATATCAAAGATCTGATTTCAAATCAAGGTTACGGGTACACACTTTTCTCTCTGTCTTTACATGCTTTCTTTCGTATTGGCCTAGTGTGTTTACGATCCGGCTACACAATGAAAAATTTGTTTTCCTTCCAGTGCGACAGGTATATACATCTAGTTCGGCCTTTAGTTACTGTTGGCTTTATTTCTATACTGGCTTCACAGTCCAAGCCAGCCATCATGGATCCTATATCCGTCCAGCGTTACAGGTATACACTTCTCTTTGGGATTTTACTTACTGTCGGTTTTAATTTTCTACTGCCCTTAAAGTCAAGGCCAACGACCAATCATCTGGTATCCGCCGAGAATTCCAGATATAAAAATGTTATTGGGCCGTTACTTATAATTGTTTTTGTTTCTCTAGTGTCCTTGCAGTCAAGGGTAACGAGCAAGAACCCGGTCTCCATATTGGGATATAGTGTTACACATATCTTTGATTTTTGACTTGCTGCAAACTGTATTTTTTCTCGTGACTTTACAGTCAAATTCAACACTCAAGGACCCGGTTTCCATCAAGTTTTACAGGTATACAAATCTGACAAGTGCTTTTCTTTAATGTGTCTTTTTTTTTTTGTCAAGTGCCTTTACTGTCTATGCCAATGATTCCGAATCCGAGCCCTATCCAGAGTGACAGGTATACAAATATGTTTGCGTCTTTACTAACTTTTAGTTTTATATGTCTAGTGCCTATACGGTTTAGGCCGAAGAACTAGGACTTGATATTCATCCAGACTTGCAGATATATATTTTTCGTTGGGCCGTTGATTATTGGCTTTTTTTATCCGTCTATTGTTTTTACTGTCAAGGGCAACCATCAAGGATTCGATCTCCATCCAGTATGACAGGTATACACTTTTCTTTGGGTTTCTACTTATCGCTTGTTTTTTTTTGTCTAGTGTTTTCACCGCCCAGGTCGAAGAACAAGGATTTCTTCTTCATCCACGGTTACAGGTATACAATTCTCTTTTAGCCTTTGCATAACGCTTGTTTGATTTTTCTAATTTCATTAATGTCTATGCTAAATAATAAGCATCTACTCTCCATCTAAGGCCATAGGTTTAAAAAATATTTTTAAGTATTATTTTACTATTTATTAATTAATTAATTATTATTTTTTAATTTTACACAGCCAAGGCCAATCGATCCAGGTTTACTGTCCTCTAGGGTAACAAGTATATGTACATACCTGATCGTTTACTTACTGCTTGTTGTTTCGAGTAATTTTTATTTAGTCAAACTGAATTACCAAAGTTTTACTATCTACCTAGTGCCCGAGGTATACAGGTCTCATTTAGTACTCACGTATCACTTATTATTCTGTCTAGCTTTTTTATAGTTTAAGCCAGCAATCGGGTTTTTAATCTCCATTAAGGATTAAAGGTATACATGACTATGTGAACCTTTACTTACTAGCTATTATATTTTCTAGTCTTTTTACAGGAAAGGCCCACAATTAATATGAGCTGTTTATCCGGGGGGGACAGGTATACAAATCTGCCAAAAAATCTACTTACTATATATTTGCATAATGTTTTTACAGCCGAAGCCAACGATCAAAGCTTTGATATTCTTTTGGGCTCACAGGTATAAAAGTCTCTTTGACTTTTTAGGTACTATCAGTTGTTTTGTTCTAACCCTTTCTTCTCCGTAGCAAGCGTTCAATGCTCAGCTCTACATCAAAGATCGCAGGTATACAAGAATCTTTAAGCAATTTACTAAAAATTAGATTTTCCTAGCGTTTACATAGTCAAGGCGAAATGATCATGTTCTTTCTATCCATTCAAGGTTCTAGGTACACACGCACATTTTAGCATTTATTCTTCACTGGTTGAATCTTTTTAATCTTTGACAGTCCATGCCGAGAATCAAGGTTGCACTTCAAAAAATAGGGTTAAGGTATACATGCCTTTTTAAGCATTTACTTACTACTAGTTGCTTTATTCAGACTTTATACAGTCGAGACCAAAGATCAAGAGCCCGATTTCCGCATAGATTTACAGGGATACAAGTGGCTTTCTTTACCCATTAACATATTGATAGCTGTTTGAAGCAGTCTTTTTACAGTTCAATTCAACAGTCAAGGTTCAAATCCCCGTCAAAAATCACTGATATACTGCCACTTTTTAGTATTTACTTACTGCCAATTGTGTTTCTTTAGTCTACTCACAGAAAAGGCCAACAATCAAGATGCCACTCTCCTTCTTGGATGTTAGGTATACCAGTATCTTTGGGTATTTACCTATTACCAGCTTTAGTTCGGTAGTCTTTTCACAATTGAGGCCAACACCCAAGATTCCATAGTTCATGCAGGGTTACTGGTATATATACCTCTTTGAGCATTTGCTTGGTGTCTGCTATATTTGTCTAGTCTTTTCATAGTCAAGGCTACTAATTGAGATTCCGCTGCTCATCTAGGGTAAAAGGTATATATGCTTTTTTTTTAATAGTTAATCATTGCTTATTGAAATTGTCTAATAATTTTACAGTCAACGCTGATGATCAAGTTTCTGCTATTCGTCGAGGTAACAGGCGTACACCCTCCTTTGAATATCTTTCTGTCATCCATCATATTTATCTAGTCATACCATAGTCCACACCAAGGTTCAAGAGTTTAGTCTCCACCCAGGTTCACAGACATTCAAGTATAATTGTCCTTTTAGGACTGCCGGCTGCTATTGCCTATTGCTTTTAATATATAGGTCAAGGGATAAATTTCCTACTCTCAACCATGAGCCACAGGTATCACCGTTTATTTTGAACATTTATTTATTATCGATTACATTTGATTAGTATTTTAAATCCGAGTCCAACGATCAAGCTTCAGCTTTCCGGGAAGGGTTGAAGATATCCATGTATCTTTGATTTTTTTAATATCGACTGAATTTCTCTGGCGTTTGCACATTCAAGTCCATTGATCAAGTCTTTGGTCGTTATCAAGTTTCCACTTAACATTATTGGGTAAAGGTATATAAGATTCTTAGATTACTTTTTTACAGCCAATGACATTTATCAAGCGTTTTTAGAGTCCTGGTCAACGATCAAGATCCTGCTATTAATTCAACGTCTTAGATATATAAGTGTATTTAAATATTACTTTACTACTGATTCTATCTATTTAATCTTTTTTTTTTCTTTTTCTTTTTTACATTCTATGCTAGCCCTCACGGCTCTAGTCTCCATCAAGGCTTATAGACATACAAGGTTTTTTTATTGGAATATGTTCTTACTATCAGTTTTAATTTTTCTAGTAATTTCACAGTTCATACCAACGATTAGGCGTCCGATTTCCATCCAGGGCTACAGGCATACATCTTTATTACACCATTTACTTACAGCCTGTTTTATATGTCCAGAATCTTCACAGCTCATGTCAACAGTCACGGTTTTGACCTACATCTCCAACCATAGGTATATATATATTTCCGAGAATTTACTTACTATTAGGTGTATTTTTCTAGTGTTTTCATAGTAAAGACCAACGATTAATATTCCGACATTTTCCTACAGTCATAGACATACAAGTCTCTTTGAGCCTTTAGTTACTTTAAGCTGTATATTCCCATACTTTTTACGGCAAAAACCAGCTATCAAGGTTTCACTCTCCATAAAAATCCTCAGGTATACAAAGCTCTTTAAATATTTTCTTACTATCAATTAGATTATTCTAGTGTTTACACAGTCAAAGCCAAACTATAAAGCCTCTGTTGCCCGTCCAAGTTCTCCAGTATATATATATATATTGAGCATCTACTTACTGGTTGTTGTTTTTAGTTATCTTGACATAGTCAAAACCAACGATTAAGGTTTCACCATACATCCAGGGTATAAGATACACATGTCTCGTTTAGTATTTAGCTATCAACTATTATTTTGTCTAGCTTTTTTTTTTATATATTTTAAGCCAACAATCAAGTTTTGAGTATTTATTCATGATCACAGGTATATATTTCTTTTTGAACATATACTTATTGTTGGCTTTCTTTTTTTAGTCTATTTACCACCAGGGCGAACGATCAATATTCCGCTGCCCATTTTGGGCTATATGTATACATGACTCTTTAAGCAGTTAATACTTGTCGCTTTTATTTGTCTAGTCTTTTAATCGCCAAGTCCAAAATTTATGGCTCTGCTCTACATCATGGGCCGTAGGTATACAAGTCTCTTTGTGAATCTATTCACTGATGGTTATAAATACTTATAATTTCACAGTTGGTGTCAAAGATCATTGTCTAACTCTTATTCATATGTTACAGGTATACATTGTTTAGTTGCCCATTTTTCTTTGAATGATGCTTGTATTTGCTTATTTTTTTTTCTCTTCGTAGTTTAGGTCAATTATCATGGTTCTATTCTTTATTAAGGATTAAAGACATAGGAGGGGTTTTTAAAATTTTCTCACTGAAAATTGTATTTACTAATTTTTTTTACAGCCGATACCAGGTATCAGTATTCTACTCTCTATTGTGGGCCACAGCTATATTTGTCTTTTTTTTTATTTGTCTTTTTTTACTATTTCGACAGCAAAACCCAACGCTAAAAAACTCAATCTCTATCAAGGGTTACAGGTATACCAGTTTCTTTGGATATATTACTACAAATTATTTTTGTATATTATTTTAAACAGACAAGCCCAACGATCAAGATTTCGGGCTCGAGTATCATATACCTGCATATGTATTTGTTTCAATAACTACTTTATGCTGTTTCTATAGGACCTTACAGTCATATTTAATGCTAAACATTAAAACTTTAGTTTTAGGTATGGATTCTAGGTATACAACAATTTTTGACCACTCAGTACTACTTGCTTTATATAAGAAGTATATGTGTAGTTGAAGCCAAATAATTTAAGCTGGTTAAAGATATAAAAGGCTTTTGAGAAATTCACCGACACCTATATCTTTTTTATGTATTTGATATCAAGGATCAAGTAACAAATTTGTGCTCCCCAT